CCAGGTGCGGAGGTGGTATTTACCATGCAGACACCTCTGTACCTGGATGGAAATAAATTGAGAATCTTCTGGGTCACTTTGAGTCCAGCAGCATAAAACATTTTGATAGGTTACTGATTCAAACTGAAATCGGATGAACTCAGGGGGTGGTATTTGGGGGGAAATTTTTTTCAATAAATCATCCAGTTGGCTCAGTGACTGAAAAAACAGGGTGGGAAAACTTAACGCAAGTTTGTGACAAGAGAACAAACAGAAGAGATTAATGCCTTTCCTGATACGTTTCAAAAGGTGATCAAACCGTTCTTGATTGCAAAAGCAAATCAAGAAAGATGAGGCACATAGCTTTTCAGCTCTAAAAAGGATCACTGTTTTGTTTTCTGTTTTCTTCTGCCACCCTATGCCAAGTGGTTGGAGATATGGGAAACTAATTTCATTTCCAGCACTTTCTCTGGACCTGTCTCACGGTGCCCTGGTCTCCCCAGCTCCCACTCCACGGTTTATGCTGCTCATTTAAACCTACACAGATAGACAACAGCGTCAGGATCCAAATTCAACCTGTCATACCTGACTTTGATTTTGCAAAAATGGTATAAAAAACACGCTTCTGTCTTACTGGGGAACTAAGCCACTATCTTCTGTCCTGTTCCAAACAACCTGGCTTTTCTTTTACAAATCCTCCCCAGATCCCTGTGGAAAGGAGTAAAGGGGAGGCTGTGCTACACCAACCCTTCATTCCCCTGGGCCTCCCCTTCCTTAGGCTCTGTTTCCCCAAGTCTGCAGGTGTTTGTGCCTATGAGCCCCTGAAAACTAGGAGGGCTCCCAGAGAGCTGGGACCTGGGTTTTCCTCTAGGCCTCCTGCAGTGCCAGCGACACAGCCCAGCTGCTTTCAATGACAGAATCTTTATTCCTGGCCTTGAGTCCCAGCTGTGTTCCGGGTGGCACAACATTTGAGGCTTGCCAGGGGAACAAAGGACATGACCAGAGGAGATGTGCGTCAGCCTGGAGTTCACTGTAAACTCCCTTTCCTTTCTGCTGCCAGGTGCTTCTGTGGGCACACACCATTAAAGCTGATTCCCAGAACCAACTCCTGCTCTTCCCTCTCCACTAGGCCCCAGCACACCTGAGCATCACTCTAAGAAGCTAGCCAAACCGCTAAGCTTTTTCACTTGGCAGGCACTGAGACTTGCATGGTGAACTCTGGGGACCAAAGGAAAAATGGATTCATGAGATCCCCTCCTACCTCTGCCTTTCCCACTTCATTGCACAGAGAGGCTCAACTCTCTGCCTGGGATCTAGTCCCCTCTCAGAGTCCAAACCCTCAGGAAACTGGTGGCTGTGAGCTCCCTCTCCTTTGGGGCCTAAGTATTTCCAGCATCCAGGGCCCAGCATCCAGAGGCCAGCATCCCAGACAAACGCTGGACAGACAAAGAAGATGCAAACAGGATGGTATTACCATGTTAATGGCCTGAGTTGAGGCCTCCTGAAGATGCTGGGAGGAGGGGGGTTCTTTCATTTACTTTTTCTTTCTTTCTTTTTCTTCTTCTTCTTCTTTTTGCAAAAAGAGAATAGTTCCGCTTTCTATTTTACTACAACAATAGCATGGACCAGCTCCTTCAAGTGTTTCAAAAAGCAGCCTGAGAAATCTCTAACCAGCCCCTCAGTCTCTCCAGCCTGCCGCTTTATTGTCCTTCCCATCCCAGTGAACAAAGGGGAGGAAAGGGTAGAAGGCCCCCAGTTGCTGACTGTTCTCAGCATCCTAATCCTTGAGAACCGGTGAGGGAAATGGCCTGTGGAGCTGGTAAATCGAATTCTGCCCTCACCTTTTATTCCCTCCCTCTGCTTGGCACTCAGGAGTTCTTCAGGTATTATAAAATCTCCTGGCTAGCAGGCCAGTAGGCATCTTGGGGCTTGCTAAGGGATAAAAGGCACCGAGGGATCATTCCCTAACCCCACAGGTAGCCAGTGTGGTGGGCTTGTTTCCACCATCCAGGCGGCTCTATTGAAGACCGAATGTCAGCCACAGTGGCTGGCGGTCTCCCTTCTAGTTGGCAGCACAGGAGTTGCCCTGTCTGTCTCTAAGTCCCTGGACATAGGCTGCATATCCCACCCAGAGCTCCAGGTGCCAACCTCCACACCAACTCGGGGCTCACCTGCTGGTGCAACTCCTCATGGAAGGAAAGCTACTTGGCCTTGACTGACGGTAACTTTCCAAGTTTTCCACCCAGGGACCAAGGGTTTCTTTGCTTTAAACCTGGGGAATCGTGCAGGTGTCTTTTAGTTCAGTCATCTGGTAAGAAGGGGGAAAAATTAGCTTTGATGATGCAGTATGTGGCGATCTCAAGGGTACAACTGGGCTGAGCTAAGGGAATGATGAGTACATCCTTGCCTAGGAGGATCGGACAAAGCTGATATGACAAGGCTGTTGGAGATGCTGCAGGCTGGTTACAACAATCCATGTAAGAAAAACGTTTTATGCTGCGGCCCCCACAGAAACCCATAGTGTGCGCACATTCACAAACACACACTCACACAAGAAATATTTTATGAAATGATACAATATGTGTGATATAATCTGGTATTTTTTCTTCTCTCTTTCTTCTGTCTTCTCTCTCTCTCGGTTTTCAAATGCCGGTTGTGATTCATCAGTTTCACTTCATGACCCACCAATGGGTTGCGACAGTTTTCAAAGCCTTGAATCAAGGTTAATGTTTTCATTTTCCAGCTGACAAAATCAAGGCCCAGATATTTTCTCAAGATCATAACAAAGCTAAAAGCAAAATCCAAAGGTTCTTTCTAATAAAGGAGGGACCTGCATTTTCTGGGGACCCGCATTTTTTGTTTTCCCAAAGTCTTTGGGAGCACACAGCAAGAAGGCGGGGCGTGTCAAGAGGTTTGTTTTCAGGGGCATTGCTGGTAAAAGCAGAGGTGTTCGACTGCTTCTGGGAAACCTCAGAGAGGGATGTGTAGCTTGGGGGAGTGGGAGAGAGAAAACAACTTAGAAAGCACCCAGGTGAGGTTCTAAGGTCTCCCAACCAAGCATTTTACTTATTGGTGGTTGTTCTTGAATCATAAGACATTTTCCTGAATTTTTATCTTTCCTAGACACAGCTCCAGGTCAGCCTCCTTTAGTGATCCTCTTTCTCCCCTGTTTTCCAACTTTTTCGAAAAGTCATTCCTTGCAGTTTTTTTTTAACCTCTACCAATTCATTGTATTTCCAGGCTCTACTTTCTCTAAATAACTTTCTCTTCCCTCTTAAAATCATGATCTTAGCAATGAGCATTAGAGAGGCAACTCAGTGACTCTTGTTCTCACAAATATTATCCCAAAAGCTATCCAAATTTGACCAGGCTTAGAAATGCTATTTAACAAAATGCCTAGTGATCAGGGTGCATGTATCACATCAAGGCTCTTCATACAGGTCATCTGAGCAGAACAAACTCTTTTCCTCCTGAAATTATCTTGTAGTCTTCCATAGAATTTCTTGAAATCTTCATCTAAATTTGCTACTTACTATACTTCTAATCTTTTAAGAAAGCCTCTAAAAATGAAGAGCTGAATGCCACCCTGTGTACTAGGTAAATAAAAGTCCAGCTTTCTGATTGCTTATTAGTTATACACCCTTAGAGAGTATGTAACAAAGAGGCCTGCTGTTTGCTTTGCTTAATCTGGTCTTAAAATCTCTGCTCTTTTGTCAGAAAACACTATTTGCAATTGTAAAAAAAAATATTTACCAAGGAACTTGGATAGCATAAGTCAAAGGCTAAGAGCCAAAGGTTGTAGTTCTCACCCCAAATTTCGTGGACCTGAGAGTCCCTGCTGTGGAGCTCAGCTGCACCAAACAAACATGCTGCTTTGTGAGTCCATTAAGAAGCAGACATTTTAGAAGGGGAAGGAAAGGGAAGGCTGCAGCCTGTTCCTTAGTTAGAAGCATGAACTCCCCAGCCTGCCCCACATAATCCTTGCTAGGTCTTTGTAATGCAATGTATCTCCATGGGGAAATTACAGGGACTGCCCTGTTTCACAAACCTGGGAAAAATACTTAACTTATAAATCCTTCAGGGCAGGCCTTCTCCCATGGACAGCAGTGACAATATGCTTCTCTGGGGTGAGGCCAGATATTCACTTAAGCATCTCTGTGGGTGGGGTCTCCTGCCCAACAGCGGGGGACAGATGTGTATCCTGAGCACTTCTGTGTGGATCCTTCCTCATCCGCAAAGCAGTTTTGGACATCTGATCTTGTGGGCTGACTCTTCTAACAGTGCTTGAATTTACCCCTTTATGTTAATTATTTTCTGGAAAGACCTGCATTCCGGTGCCTTTCCTAACCACTGGCGTATCTAGCATCTAGAAATGAACCGCCATTGTAGATCAGTGAGTTCCAGGACATGGCCTCAGGGTGCTCTACCCTAAGCAAGAACTCAGCTCCTTCTAAGTCCCGGGCTCATGTCACAAGGTGCAGGTCCTAAAGGTCTGGTCCCCAGCAGGAAGACCATGTCAGGACAGGACAGGAAAAGGAAACAGGATAACCAGAAGGAGTCAGGGAAGTAGGGCTCATGGAGTCATGATATTGTGCCCCAGAGGCTGCCAACCTAGACGGTTCTTCAGCTTGTTAAGCAAGAGGGCTCTGGGGCAGCATTGGCTCCTCACCTCCCCGCTGGTGTCAGAATAATTGCCCACTTCATGCCATAGGATCTGCAAAGAGGAATGGGGTGGTAGCAATTCCGAGCTTTCTTGGTTTGATCCTCATGTTTTGATTGTCTCATTCTGTTAGGAAATTCTGTAGGTCTCCTTCAGCCCTACCTCAATCTTCTCTGTCAAATTCTTGCCACAACTGCTGATCTCTTGCTCTCATTAGGGTAAATATCACTGGCCAATGCATCTTGGCTTTTGATTCTGTCTAGAGCTAGCTTCTATCAGAACCACAGCAGTAATTACCACTAGCAATGGGCAGCACTGAGCATAATCAGCTGAAAGAAATGGCTTAATCCCAGGATCTTACCTTGAAGAACCAGGCCTTCCTCCTTGATGGTGTAGACAAATGAGGTGAAGGGAGCCAGAGGGGACTTGGCAATAAGAATCTGCACATTAAGCACATTTTTCTAGGATTAGTCAAAGGATCAGGGATGGGCCTCTATTCAGTCCCCTTCCCACTTTGAGACAAAGTGGTAACATAGGACTATAAGTCACAAGGCTTATTTAAAAAAAAAAAATTTTATAACCCAATGTTTAAATGAGTGCTACACTTTCAAAGTGGTCACCTTAAAAGGCTATATACTTATCCCAACTACTACCATCAAATGCCATATTCCTGAATCAATTCTTCTGGAAATAAGTCTCATTATTTTATAACATCCCCTTCCCACTTTGAGACAAAGTGGTAACATAGGATTATAAGTAACAAGCCTTATTAAAAAAGAATTTTTATAACCCAATATTTAAATGAGTGTTATCCTTTCAAAGTGGTCACCTTAAAAGGCTGTACATTTATTCCAACTATTCTGCCATCAAAAGCCATATTCTTGAATCAATTCTTCTAGAAATAAGCCTCATTATTTTATAACACATGCTTAAATAGCTACCTTTCTGCCTAAAAATAAACCTAGCTTGATTCTTTAATTTTATTTATAAACTTAGCCGTTTTACTAAAAAAATTCAAAGGTACCTTTAAAAGATTTACTATCACTGCAAATATTCAAAATAACTTGTGAAAGGCAAAGCAATTGAAGGTTTCTTTGTTGGCTCTGGTCCTTCACCAAATCCTTTACTACGTGACTACATTTTCTCTTACTTAAGGTGTACAGCATTTCCCATGGCCCTTGATTGTGGATTTGGGCATATGACTTGCCAGGTGGCATGACACAGGTTGTGCCAGTTCCCAGCCGAGGCCTCAAAAAGCCTCAAGTATTTCTAGTTGTTCTCTTAACATTTGTGCCATCGTCGGAGAAAAGTATGTCCATGCTAGTCTGTTATCTCAGAAGGAGGGCAATAGATACCTGAAACAGAGCTGGCCAGGAAGGCTAGGCTAAAGAGCTGACCCCTAGGAGACCTACAGATACACAAATTAAATATCGCTGCATGCCTTTGAGATTTTGGTGGTGGAGTCATGAAGCATTAGTACAGTAAGAGTTAACTGATATACCAGCCAAAATATCAAAACATGTTTTCAGCAATGGCATTTTCCTAAGACAACACTTATTTTAAAGGAGATGGTTATCTGGTCATTTAAAAGATCAGTATCGTTAAGCCATTATCACATCTCATATGGTTTACAGAACCTCTAATAATTGGTGGATTATTTTATTACAGTATTTCTACTGAAGGAAGATTAACATCAGTTTCCTGTTTTACAAATTAAAAAAAACATTATCAGAAACAGGGACAGTTTGAACCCTGAACTGTACAGGTAATCAGGGAGGCAAGAGAGAAAGAAGAAACTATTTCAAATAATCAAAAGGCTTATATATAATACCTTGGCCTATCTCAATTCAACAAATATTTGCTGTCAAGTACGAGAAGTGGTGGAAAAATGTGATGGAAAGATCACAGGTTTTAGTCATGGGCTTGGAATCTAGCTCTTCCACTCATCGGCTAGGAGCTTATGGCAGAGCCTACAATTTTCCTCTAGTAGCCATTCCCCCTCTTCCCTTTACTAAATAACTCCCCAAGTTTCCACATTTCTCTGCTGCTTTTGCAAGTAGGTGTGGCTATGTGACCAAGCCTTTACTAGCAGAATGTGAGTACAAATGACAGGTAGAACCTCTGGATTATGTTTTCATAAGAAAACTGTGTGCTCTTCACTTTCCCTTTCACCCTTCCCAAGGCAGGAACCAGATCCAAGCAAATGGGTGTGGACAACACTGTGGGGATGACAAGGCAGGATGAGAGAGGGAAGCTGGGTGGCTTCAGAGAGCATCAGTGTCTCCCACTCGGGGTCACCAGTCCTCTCAGGGCAGAGCAACTTGTCTCAACCACTGTATTTTTATCTTTGTTACTACAGTGCAGCCTGAACTCTAACCAAAACTGTGATTCTGGACAACCTAAATTTGTTAAGTCTCAGTTTCCTCACATGTAAAATGTTGATAAAAACACCTTCCCAAGTGGGATTATTATGAGGATTAAATTACGTATGCAAAATACCTGTCACTGTGTCAAACACAAAATAAATTCATAATAAATAATAGGAACATTTCCAACTAACCCATCACACATGGTTCCCTTAACCCTCACTCACCAAACAACAATATATCAGTTGGCTTCTACCAGAAGAAAGTCTCCAGTTGAATCGCAGTAATTTTTACAAATGTTCTAAAGTTATCTAGATAAACTAGTTAATCATTCTCAGAACCAATGAGAAGAAAGTAAAGGTGGGCATTTATACTTTCATGTCAAAAATATCTCATTTGAAGATTAGGGTGGATCCCTTTCTGCCTGAGATAGTTTGGAGATGGTTCAATGTGAATTTATTTTATTTTTTATTTTTTATTTTTTTGAGACAGAGTCTAGCTCTGTTGCCTATGCTGGAGTGCAGTGGCACAATCTCGGCTCACTGCAAGCTCTGCCTCCCAGGTTCATACCATTCTCCTGCCTCAGCCTCCCGAGTAGCTGGGACTACAGGCGCCCACCACCACACCCAGCTGATTTTTTTGTGTTTTTAGTGGAGACGGGGTTTCACCGTGTTAGCCAGGATGGTCTCGATCTCCTGACCTCGTGATCCACCTGCCTCAGCCTCCCAAAGTGCTGGGATTACAGGCGTGAGCCATCGTGCCCAGCCCGGTTCAATGTGAATTTTAAGGATACCCCTTAGAACGGGAATGGCATGGTAGAAGAAAAGATGGTGGTTCTCGATTTTAATGTGGGTTTGCATCACCTGTGGGTCCTGTTGACCTACACATTCTGATTCTGTACGTTTTGAGTGGAGCCTGAGAGAGTCTACATTTCTAACAGGCTCCCAAGAGATGCTGATGCTGTGGTTCACAGACCACATTTTGAGTAACCAGGTTCTAGGCAATTAGCCTGATTGAAAAGTCTAAGATGGAGAAGCAAGAGATGGGAGATGTGGGGCCAGTTAGGAGGCGACGCCAATAATTCAGTGATGAGATGATAAGGGCCTAAACTATAGCTGTGTCAGAAAGAGTGGGAAAAAAGGAAATGGATAAGATAAATGTAAATCCTTTAGATCCAAACAGCAGTAAAAATAAACTAAACATATAAAAAATCTCAGATCTTTGTTGCCTGTATGTAGCAACCAGACATGAAACCAAAAGGGTGTAAATAGCAATAAATAAAGAATCATGCTATGTTTTAAAAAATAATACCATTTTTATATTATGCACTGCAGAAGCTGAGACCCACAAAAAAAGAATGTAATATTCCAATGCGACACAAGAATGGCATCTAAGCCTAAGCCTTCCAACTCTGTGGTGCTAACTCCACCTTCTAATAGCCAGTCTATGAACAAGCCCTGAACCCCAGCCAAAAGGATCTCACACCTGGAGGGACCTCCCTGCCGGAAATCAAAGAGTTTGGACAGGTCACTGATTAACACACTGTCCTTCTGCAGCAGGATTTAAAATGAGTCATCAAAAGGATGATCTGTGTGCAGTTAGAAAAAGGAAGTGATAAGTTATGTCAGATGAATTCCATTTCCTTTCTTTGGAAAAGAACTTCCGGATTGATAGATCAGAGGGCTACCACCAACACAAAATATCTGATTTCAGCAAAAAATGTGACAAACTCTCTTGATAGCCTTCTGGATAAAGTGAAGATAAGTTGAGCTGGGTGCTAATACCATTAAGTGGACTTATGAGTGACCAAAAGGTCAGTAGTAACCTGGTGAGGGGCAGCAACCTCTAGTAGATTGTACTGAATTCTAGCTTGGTCTTACTGATTTGAATGATATTGCTGATGTATTCAAATACACTCATACAACAAATATGAAATCCAGCAGAGAACAGAACTTACAAAAACTGCTCCTCTAATAGAGCTTACATTCTAAAGAAAGATAAGAAGTACAAAATAAATAAATAAAAATGGTATGTTTGATGAGTATCCATGCAATGGATGAAAAGAGCAGATAAAGAATATAGGAAGTATATTGGATTGGAGGTGGGGGCATCAATTTTGGATAGAGTATCATGAGATCTCACTGAAGAGGTGACATTTGGACTTGTGAATCATGTAACTAAACCCACTGATGAGATGCTGAACTGATAGGAAGGTAACAGAAGATTTAGAGAAATATTAAGAGAAAGAGTTCATATATTAGATTAGATAATCATGATATCAAAACAAATCTCAATTTGGTTAGAATGTTGGAACAAATCCTACACATTGATTGGAATGCAATTTTATTGAACTAAATGAAAGGCCTTGTCCTTGAGAACAGAGCACCAATGATTCATTATGGAACAGGCAAAATGAAATTCAGCATCCAGAAAATGGAATGTTGGTTAACTATAGTTCAATATTAGTCAGCTGTGAGATGTAATTCTCAAAAATCTAGCATGTTCTCAGGTTACATCAATGGAGATATAGTATGTAGAACAAGGGAGGTGATAGTCCTGCTCTCCTCCTCACCCAGCAAACCATGCCTGATGCAATGTGTTTGGATTGGGGCCCAAATTCCGAAAGAAAAAATGACAAACAAGAAGGTGGTTGGAGGTCCAAAGCAATCCATGACCACAAACACGTCAATGCAAACATCATGGTAAGAGGACTGGAGTGAAGATGCATATTGCTTTTACTATGAGTTTTCTAACCTGAAGATTCTGTAATATTATATGCTAGTATTATATACTAGTATATACTATGAGATGCATATTGCTTTTGAGTTTTCTAACCTGAAGATTCTGTAATATTATATGCTAGTATTATATACTAGTATATACTATGAGATGCATATTGCTTTTGAGTTTTCTAACCTGAAGATTCTGTTGTATTATATACTAGTGAGGGGAAGTGTAAATTAGCTTTCTAGCCCAATATATTTCAGGAAAAAAAGTGATGCTTGCCATGTATCTTTGTGGATACATACAGATTCCTTCCTATTTTTGATCCAAATTAATGCCCCATGACCCTT